ATTTATTATCTTGAATTATAAATACTTTTTATTTCAATTTCATTTAGCACTAATCCAAGCACGTTTTTTTTGGTTAACATGTCTTTAGCTAACACAAATAGATTCGATGGTTTTCCTACAAAGTGAAGTTGCCCATGACAAAGACATGGATTTTCCAAATCTAAAACACAAATGGATATTGTTTGGCCTTGAGACTTATTTACAGACATAGCAAAAGCTAAACGATTTGGAAACTGTAGCCTTCTGAATGGTATAGAAGAATAGTACGGTGTCATTGGAATACGTGGCCACAGGACCACTTCTCCTTTAAACTTCCCAGTGGTTGTTTTAAAAATATCTCGGGTGATCTCTTTGATAACGACATGCTCACCATTGCTTAACTGAAGTGGATTCAAATTACGTCGGAGAATAAAAGGGAAACCAATCTTAAATCGAAGAATGTGTGGTGGCAGTTCAGGACCTTTCATCTTCATCAACAACAGTATTGATTCGTTCAAAAGACACCAGATCGACTGTTGTTTCGTCAACATCAACATTTTTATCCCTGCCAAAATGGCCCGATGATTGAGCCAGTAATGATTCAAGTTACTATTCTGTACTATCGAAGAAAATACTCATAATCAATTCTTTTTTTCCCGAAAAAATTTAATGATTTGGGTATTCAGTTGCAGTTTTATTTTACACCAAACTTCGAAAAATTAAAACATATAAATTAGATGCGAACTATCCTATCGTTCAAGTTGCATAAAAATACACACGATGCGCAAATTCAATTGAAATCGGTTAAATAGTTTAGGAGTCCATCGCTCTTTCTCCAATTTGCGGTTTTGAGACTTGATATTTTTCCACCAAATGGAGGGAATTGTAATATAATCTAATCCGGCTTCTAACAACTTCAACGAGATCCAATGCTATTAGATTGGACACGGGTCAGCCTCGGACGGCTACAGGCCACGCCCGGTTATCAACCACAAAGTTTCCAGCGGAGTTAGACAACGCCACTAACTGATTTAACAATCTTTTCTCAACAATAATTCTAGGAAGGATTAAATGAAAAACGGCAAACGGTGGAGGCTGTGGAATTGACTCACAAACGCTCTCAACCAACTATAATTTGAGGCTGCCAGACTACTGCAGCGTCTTCTAAGCTCTTTGAATAGCCAAACTATTATACCATCAGATCTCTTCAAAGTATCTACTTCTCTAGCAACAATAAATTTTATGCACGTCGCAGTCGTTCCCTTGTCTACCGTAAAGCTCAGACAAAAGCTGGCTTTTAGCAAAACAGCCAACACCAGATAGCTTAGCGTACTAACTTCCAACGTGGTCATTGCAATCTATCTATTAACAGTCTATCTCGCTTGCGCTGGACGTTAGCCATTAAGAGATCTAATCGTCCCAGTCCGGTTCATCATTAATACAATACAACAACGGATATACTAACTAGACACTGTTCAATGGGACTCCGCAGTAGTATAATGGGATACTTTTCGAATGATTTTTGCCGAAGCTGCAGGGTCGAAGGAGAGGAAGAGTCACACGAGCACTACTTCATTCCGACATTCCTTCTTTGACTGCTTGGCGAATATAGCAACGGCTGGCATAGGCATCGCATCCTCAATAAGACACACAAAACGGTTCGTACATCTAAGAAGATGAAAAGCACACCGGTAGCGCAATGGTCTTATGGCCTAAGTGCGCTGTTCGCATCAACTCAACTCAACTCATAATGAAGAATGAAAAGGTTTGATCAAATTATGATCTTCCGAACCGGGTCAATATTAAATCACTAAATCGGACCTAATTTAATTAAAGTAATTGTCAGAAGTAATGAAGGCATACAAGTATCAAAACATACGAGCACAAGTGGCTACTGAATGAAAGTGTAAACAGGTACTTACATATGTATGTATAAACGAATATACGTACGAGTATTTAAGTACTCATAAGTACTTGCACAATTCGAATGACCCAATGGGCTATTTGAGGGCAAATGTTATTTGTTATTTCACATTTTTATTCAAATGTCTCTGTTTCTGTTTTTTTTTTTGCTTACGTGACTCTTGCATAGGTCATAATAATGTGGAGTTTTGCGACATACATACGTGTACATATGTATGTAATTTTGCAAATAAATGTTAGTTTTTGTGCACAGTTTCTGGGGATGGAAGTTGTAATTGAATTAAAAAAGGGAAAATGGAATGTGAGAAAATGGATCATTAAAGCGGCTTTTGATGGTAAAATAAAAATAAAAATAAAATCGTAATTAAATAAAAAAGAAATGAAATAAAATAAACAAAATTTAATAAAGTGGAATAATATAAAACCAAATAAATAGTTTAAATAAAATAAAGCAAAAAAAAAAAAACAAAGTAAACCAAAATAAAGTAAACCAAAATAATATCAAATTAAATAAATAATATAATATGATTAGAAATCTTATTAAGGGGGGAAGTTGGTCTAGAGATTAGAAAAAATCGAAAACAAATTTTTTGTCTTAAAAGGTGTTTTAGGGTCTTAGAAATAACATACCAAAAGATGGATGCCGGCAAAAATGTGTAATTGCCAAAATTTTTCACTCGACGGCAGTGCCTCGCAGGTAAGCCCCGAGCGACCTACAACTTTAAAGGCGTTTTTGTCGAAATATCTTTTTTTAAACTGGCCGAAGACATAACTGGAACAAATCTTCACCGATTCATACGAAATTTTGACAGTACATTCGAAATACCGTTCTCCGAAGACGAACGTAGGATTTTTTTATACTACATACTTTGTTTTAATCAACAATTTTATATCATTTTTTATAGTGAAAATTGTAACTTTTTGTTCAAAGGTGCACCATTTCGCGATTTGTTGTTATAAGGAAACGAAAAAAAATTTAATTTTTGATCCCGGACAAAAATTAAGGAGTTTACATCTTCTGTCATGGACCCATTAGAAAAAATGCGTCTTCGGAGAAATGCTGGACAGCGGCCATTTTGAAATTAATTCACACGAAAAATTTTGCATTTGTACCATGAAACCTATATTATTAAACCTATTTCACAGATTTTGGATTGATTCCGTTGTTGAGTCAAAAAAAAATTCATAAAATACCCCCTTTTTTGCGCTCTAGACCAGCTTCCCCCCTTAAGGGTAGTTACACTGAAAACGCTCGCAAACACTAAATATGGATAGAGCTCGGGGGACTTACATATAAACGCTCTAGACATAAATAGAGCATTCAACAATGGCGGGAAGAAACTGCCATCCCGCTATTGGTGAAAAAGTTCCCAAAGCTGCTGAAGAAAAATTCTGAGTGAAATGCTGACAGACTGTATACTACTATGTGGAGTTTATCGCCTGTTATCACGCAGTCGATTCGAAGCTTTTATATGCTGCTTCGATGCGGTGGATCGCGGCTAATAAAATCTCATAGAGAAAACCATTAGTGTGGATCGAGCGGCTCACTGCAGTTTTCATAACGGGTCTCGAAGGTTTCTACCAGCAACCGATGTAGAGTTAATTTTCTGCTCCAGCTTAATATTTTCCAAGAAAAGATCTGAAACCAGTATATAATATCCGAAAGTCGCTCATAACTTTAAACCGAGGGAGTTGGAAGATGGAATGTCCTAATGGCTTGCAAGACCGAAATGACTACAGGACAATTGTAGGCCACAATATACTAGCGCAAGACGCGAGTAGAGTAGGCATAACTTGTAGTGTCTTGTCTTGTCTTACACTTCTAGAAGCTTCGCTCTCCACAGGACTCGAGAATTCAAAAGCGTTATCGGCCAACGGACGACTAGTCCACCTCAAATATAATTGAGCCTTCATTCGACGCTAGTAAGGGTCATCATTAGCTAGCCAATAACCTTCCTACATTACAACCTTTTAAATTCTAAGCTTTAAAAATCGATATTAACTTTCACCTTACTTACAGAAAGAGATTGAACGGAGTTAATTTTTTCGGCAGGTTCCTTCCCACTCCGATTGACCTATAAATACATTCATACATACTACTTGACTCCTTCAGCGATAAAGTTAAACACACCTTGCTAACGCACCCTTAAACCAATAAAGTTTATATGTAACTGAGTGCCTACCGCTTGGTTGCTCTTTAACCGTTTCGCTGCAACAACCATCACCCGTAGTGAGCCAGTGAGCTTACGAGCAAACGGTTTATCTTCAGTTGTAAGCGCATGCGCGTACTTACTAAAAGCGGTTTCGGGCGGTGAGCACAAAGATAGCTCAATAAGCCCGGTTGTAAGTTAGCCAACTTACCACGCTCAATGCCTTGCCATGCATAACCGCACGACTTCTGTCTCAGAGACAAGAGCTCTGTTGGTGCAGAAGTAAAACAGCAGTGTGCCGCAGCGGACGTGTTTAACGGCGCAACGGGGAATTTAACGAACGCTATTTCTATGCGTAGAAAAAGAAAAAAGTTTGGTGTGTGAATCTAAGCCTAGCGAATCATTGAAGTGGGCTTATGTCGCGCGTGGCTCGTGGTTGTAGAAGTGGCTGTGCATTTCACGACTAAATTGAAGCTAATTGTTGGAAATATATTTACCGTTTGGTGATAGTGGGCGCATGCGCCACCACAAACCGCACACTTGCAGACGGCTCGGACAGGAGAAATGGTTTGGACGTGCTTACGTGACAGAAATTGTTAAAGTGTGCGCAGGTGAAAAAAGGAAAAATTCCAAGTCGACTCGCCGAATGCCGTTTATGTATGTACGCGAATTGCAAGCACAACAACAACAACAATAACAACAACAGTTTGTTAAGAGAAATTCAAAAAAAAAAAATTAATAAATAAATGCAATGAAAGTGTAACCCAGAGTGGTGAAATGTGAAAAGTGAGAAGTGAAGCGCAAAAGTGCAAAGCAAGTGGAAAAAGAAATATATAAAAATACCGTAAATTGAGGCACACATTTTTTTGTGAAAATTCAATAATAATAATAATAATTTTCCACCAGCTCAACCAACTCAAAACGCAAAAAAAAATATATCACTAAAAAATGGTGCTTGGTCTTAGCCTTGGCAGTGCTGCAGCCGGTGCCATCTTCAAAGCCAGCGCTGGCTCAAAGGCTGCTGTCACAGCCGGCGCTGCTGCTGTCGGCGCATCCAAATTGGGTTTGGCCATTGCGGGCGCCATCAAGTTAGCCACCACCGTTATTGGTGTTGGTAAATTAGCTATCCTGCCTTTTCTTATAGCCGCCATTGCCTATTACAATTATGATCTCTTCGATCCGGAGAATCGACCATTCAATGTACCAGAGGTTTCGTTGGCTTATGATTTTATTATTATTGGTGGCGGCTCGGCGGGTTGTGTTTTAGCGTCACGTCTATCGGAGGTACCGCATTGGCGCATTTTACTCTTGGAAGCAGGCGGGCACGAGACGGAGATTTCGGATGTGCCGTTATTGTCATTGTATTTGCATAAAAGCAAATTGGATTGGAAGTACCGGTAAGTGTGGATAAAGGCACAGGTAGAGACGCTGAGTTGAGCCCGAGATGAATTGTGAAGTCTTGATTGATTTGTCCATCTGGTACACATACATTGACTACCAATTAAAGTCTCATCCCCAAACGGGATTAAGCTAATTGTGATCTCTTATGTGATCGCAGCAACAGGACTTTGTCTTCTACTAAACTATACGGTTTGTTGAAGTCCTTAAAGGTTTAAACATTTGGCATTGACTAATGTTCATTCCCAGGCCTGTTTTAAGACCTCGTCGTTTTTCCTGACTGTCTGAAAAAACGGGCCGAGGAAATTTTCATTCAAGTAGTTGTGAATTTACTTGGTTTGATCGCCATAAAGATCATACGAATAAAAAAGTGAGTGACTGAAAAATAGTTTTATCTAAAGGAAACAGGCAACATTTTTTCTTTTATCTTAATAAATTCAAGCTCAAATGGTCACTCATTATTATTAATAAATAACAACAACATTTTGACACGGTTCTATGCGCTATCTTAAAATCTCCTCAATAATATTTCTTTTGAATTTTGATAATTTTATTTAAACTCTTCTTCTTCTGTTTAATTTCAATGCATGAACAATTACGGGTGTGAATTTTTTATTAATTTTTTATTTTCACTTTGACAAAAAAGTGCGTAAAACGGCATATTTATTATTGGTAGTATCCACACACGCACACAAAGAGAGAAAAAAATTAGAAATTGAAAACAAGAAACGAAGATGTGTGACACAAACTTGAAGATCGCGGTAAAGATTCTGATAATGATGATGATGACGAAATTTATGTTAATCTTTACATGGCACAAATATGCCGATTAACAAGGCTGCAAAGTTGTTTGCGGTTATACCACCAGCAAAAAACGAAAGTTGGTCAGTAAAAAGTGCAAAATCACAATTACTGAATGATTTGTCTTGTAGGTAATTTAGAGGGTAATCAAATAACTGACATTATTTGTCTATATTATTATCAAAAGCTAAATAAAAAAAGATTGCTATCATAAAAAATATTTATGCGACAAATTTCCTTAACAAAATGAATTTTTTGCTATCATACAGTGTGCTGAGGTTGTTTTTGTATTAGAAAATTTTATTTTATTATGATAAATATTGTGTAAAGAAATTCACTTTTTCTTATTCCGACACACATAAATTACACAATAAAAAAATTAAGTAATATTAATTATGTCTTAGGTGCTAATATGTTATGTAATTTTGCAATCAGCCAGCAGCTGAGTTGCTAATAGCACTCACCAGACAAACTTTTATTACTTTTTCATAGTGAGCTGCAATTTAGCTTCATTAACGTCTTTTTTGACCTTTCCTTATGAAATAGATTTTAGTACATTTATGTTATACTTTCGTTATATTAATTGAACTTATTTTTAGAAAGTAGTGCAGGAGTGCATATAAGCCTTTCTGAGTTGCATATGAAAGGTTGTACGTGTATGCACATTTTATAATGCGAAGTCAAATTATACTATTTTATTTTATATTTAATAATTTTATTATAATTTATTTGCTCTTATTTTTATTTAAAACTGTATAAGCTTTTGTTTCATTTCATTTTATTTATATTTCATTCGCTTTATTTTGTTTTATTTTATTTATTCCATTTAATTTATTTTACTTTCTTCTAAATTCTTTCCGTTATTTCGCATTATTTTGTTTTTTTTTTGTTTTATTTCACATTAAATTTAATTTAGTTTATTCTTAATAATATTTTTTTATTTATTTACTAAATTCCTTTTTATTTTGTCAATTTTTTTTATTTGATTTAATTTAATATTTTTTTCTTCTTTACTATTAATTTCATTTTATTTTATGTTATTCTATTTTATAGAAGATTAAGTGTATTTTGTATTATTAATTTATTCAATTGTGCCGAGGAGCTCCAACTAATATTTGTACGTTGGTCGAACCTTGACTTTCGCATGGCAGTTCTCATTGCTAATTACTTGGCTATTACGACATTTTTTTTATTATATAATTTCTCTAAATTCAATCAGGATTTTGTTTTTAATTTTTAATTTTAATATAATCTAATTTAGTATTAATGTATTCATAATTTACCTTCCTTTAATTTCATTATGATTTATCTGACATATCAAAGCTCACTTTATTTCAATGTGTGATCAATTCACCTGTTTGCTTTTTATTTTCTTATTTACCACTTCATGTCTTTTCTTCAGTGTCATGGCTTTACCCACTGCTGGGCTCTTAATGACATTGTCTGCATTGGTTCGTCACGACCAACTGGATGGTGTTGTAATTAACTATAATGCCATGGCAATTTACATTATCAACTTTTTGCAAATCACGCCCTTTACATGCGTACTTCGATGGCTGCCAACTTATCATTAATGTCGTCGAGCGAAGTAGAAAAAATGTAGGGCCAATAAGTGTGCATTAGCAGTCATCAGTCATTCATTGTTAGTGAGGCACACAAAAGACTTAAGCAACAAACTTGATATGCAAGATTAAAATAGAAAAAGTTTGAAATATGCCACAAACCACAAAAAAAGTTGAAAGCGTCGGAGCTAACGATGTCCAAAATTCATAACATGACCTCAGGCCTACACAAGAAAACTTCACACATGAATGAAAATAGATCAACATTTAGTAATTACTGTAATCGTAATATCCAAATTATGGCAAATTTTACGAAGTGCTACATGTTTACAGCAAAACCAAACGAACAATCAAGCAACAACAACATTAAAGCTTATATTGTATATTACTTTTTTATCGTTTTCGAAGCATAAACAAGTGGTTTGAACGATAACAATAGCAATAAGTTAAAACAATAAAACCAAAAAAGTGAGCTTAAAGTAGCAGTCGACCGATATGAGTACAACAACAATACCACTATAATTTCCTCATCCAAAATATATAACTAAATGGCAGCTGCTCCAAAGCCGGTTAGACAAGATCTGCTGCAATCGTATGAATGATTATGAAAATTCTCCCCAACCGAAAAAGAGCGCGAATTGTGAGTAAAGTGAGAGGGATGACTTGAGTATAGTGGACCAAGCACTAGCGCACACTTACACGTATGTTTGTATATATGTATGTAAGCGACTCAAAACAAATGCAACAGAGTCGAAATGTGTGGAATGCGTGCAGGTTTTTTAATTATTCTGAGGAAATACGCGCATGCGGTTAGCGCCGGTTAACGGAAACAACTAACAAATAAATATTTGTTCGTACTGGAAAGTGAAAAATGATAAAAACAAAAAAAAATTGAAATAAAAAATAAAAATAAAATAAATTAATATAACATAACAAAATTAAATTTCAAAGAATTAAAAAAAAACTAAATTAAAACATTTGAAACTAAAATATTCTTATTAAAAATAGAAAGCAGTGAAATAAATAATAATTAATAAAAAAATATAGAAACTGTAAATTAAATAAATTCAAATATATCAAGATAAACTAAAATCAAATGAGGTGAACAATTAAAACAAATCTAGGCAATATAATATTAAAAAATAAAATAGAGTAAATTAGACAAGGTAAAACAAACAAAAACTATTAAACTTCGGAATATAAAGCAAACTTAAAATTATTGATATCAAATAAAATTAAAAGAATTAATTAAAATGAAATTAAAAAAAAGTAATGAATTAATTAAAATAGATAAAAAAAGTGAAATACAATTAAATTAAAAAACAAAAAGTAAGGAAAAAATTCAATCAATACATTGAACAAAATAAAAATGGAATGGAAAAAAATAATAGATAAAATAAAAAATATGATTAAATAAAAATGTATTGAAATATATAATGAAATAAAATGAAACAGAATTTAATAATTCAAAATACAAATAAATAAACTTATATTACACACTATAAAGTAAAATAAAAATAATATAAAAAATCAAATAAAATGAGAAAATCAAAATAAATTAAAGACTTTAAACAAAATAAAATACGTATAATGAAATAAAATAAAATAAAAGATTTAAATAAAATAAAGTGGCAAAAATGAAATGAAAAAATAAAATAAAAACAAAATTTAAAAGATATAAAATAGAACGGAATGAAATAAAATAAAACAAAAAATTTAAATAAAATAAAGTGGTCCCACGCAATTAAAAAAATTGGGATAAAATAAAATAAAACAAAATTTAAAAAATATAAAATAGAATACAATGAAATGAAATAAAAATAATATAATATAAAAATAAAACACGAAATGTAAAATCACCTGAATTAAAACAAATTAAATTTCAAGAAAAAAACACTTCTTGCTCTGCTGCTCAACAACGTTATCCAACTGAAAGAGAAAACTAGGTCACCCGTTTATACTATCGATGCAATCGACGTCGATGAAAAGTCACTTTCCAAGATAGGCTTTCAACATACAGATGTATGCATGTATGTATATACGTAAATAATATATATATAAACAGTACTCATGCATACACACAGTGTCACTGTGTAAATATTTGCTATCACAACAATAACAATCGACATACACATACGAGGTGTGTTCAAAAATTATAGCGAATTCTGTGTTTTTTCAAAAATTATTTATTTATTCATGAATATCTATTTTGTCCCCTTCAAAGTAATCCCCATCAGATATTATACACTTGTGCCAACGGTTTTTCCAATCTTCGAAGCACTTCAAAAAATCATTTTTTTTATCTTGTTCAGCTCCTCCTTCGATGCCGTCTTTATCTCGTCAATCGTAGCATAACCTCGTCTTTTCATGGGCCTCTTCAGTTTAGGGAACAAGAAAAAGTCACAGGGGGCCAGATCTGGGGAATACGGTGGCTGCGGCATCATTAGTGTGTTGTTTTTGGCCAAAAAGCCGCGCACAAGCAACGATGTGTGAGCAGGGGCGTTGTCGTGGTGCAAAAGCCAATTTCTGTTCTTCCTCAAATCCGGGCGTTTCTGGCGGATTGCTTTACGCAAATTGCGCATATCTTGCAGGTAATATTCCTTATTGACCATTCTACCCTGTGGCAAGAACTCATG